AAGTGATATAATATACTTATTTAATCAATTTAGTATTAAACTTCTAAGATATTTAAAAATTAAAAACATAATTAGTAATTAGCAAAACAATTAAAATGATCAAAATATAAATATTATGCGGATAAACGTCAGTGTGAACAAATCAAAATACACTATATCTGTTTTGAATAATAAAAAAGTTTGATCAGTCAATAATTGGCAGCTCGTGGTTGTGACTTCAATTAAATTAAGCCATTGTAGTCACATTTGAAAAACATAATAATTATTAAACATTTGATAAAAACAAAATTTTAAAGAGCATGTAATTATTGTTTGGAAAAATACCTCAAAAAAGAAGTACATAAAAAGTTAAAGTAAATGATTGAACAAAAATAATTAAATTACATTAATAATGCAAGACTAATGACAAAAAGTAATTTATAATATTTTTAATTTTTATCATTTTTTTCACAAAATCGTAACTGAAAAAAATGACGCTTTTATGAAACAAGTTTATTCATTTTTCTTCTTACAATTATTTAGTCCCTGACTTTTTTAGTAAATTAAAAGTATTAACAAAAAAAGGTGGACGCACAATGAAGTCCAATAGATTAAAATTTTTAGTTCCTTTATTTTTTTAGTTCAATACCATCAAACCCAAACAACCAAAAAAATCAATTGAGAATCAACATATTTTCCTTATTAATTTCAGGCACATTTTCCTTCATCGACACGCTCTCATCATCGCTTTTTAAATTCTTTTTATCTCCATTTTCAGCGTTATTTTCTTTACTTTCGCTTCCTTCGGACATATTGACGTACTCGTAATTATCTTTTTTACACTTTTTGCACTTCCTCCCGCACGCGCAGCTTGGGCACCAGCAGTTAAAGCTGATTGGGAACTTTCTTTTCCCCACAATCATATATTTCGGGGGGTTCAGTAACTCATAAATGAACTTAAGAATGAACGGCAGAGCATTTACCAGTGTGATTACTCCGACCTTCCACCAAAACGCAAATGAGAAGATGAATGCTGGCTCGAACGTCTGTCGTAAAATTAAGACGGACGCAAAGTACATTCCAACGGAGGACGTCTCCGAAGCAAAGATGATCCAATTCCACCTTCTAATAGTAAATCCGATATTTAACAATTCTATTAAGATCAACACGGTGAATGAAATCGAGACGATTCGCACAAAATTAGTTTCAAAGAGTACCATTGAAAGTATCATAATCACAGACCCTTGTAATATCGACACAAACATCCACGCAAAAAACGTCGTGAAATTGAGATTTCTCCCTTTTTGCATCTCGACATATAACACAGGGAACTTCATCACATCTTTTAAACTAATTCGCTCGTCTAAGACTAACGAAAAGACCGGCGCCATAGTATAAAAAGTAGAGTACCCAACTAACAAGATGCCAGTAAATAAAGTGATTGGCGTGAAGTAAAACACCATAGAAAAGACAGCCTGCATGATAGAGATGATCATTCCTCTGTGCATAATGAAGAGGGCAAGATCTGATGTTCGTATATAACTGTTCCTCCCATGCCACAAAAGTAATTTTAACATGTCAGAAAACTTCTGAATGGAAAAATCAGCTGCCATGGAAGCTTGTTTGCCCTCTTTCCCTTCTATCCCTAAACCAACATCAGCTTCTTGAATCATAGAAACATCATTCCCACCATCTCCTATCGCACATGTGGTTAATCCAGGTTCTTCACTAAACGGACTATATCGGAAAGCTT